TCCTTCCTCCTTCCTCCTCCTCCCCTTCCTCCCCCCTTCCCATCATCATCATCATCATCATCAGCATCATCATCATCATCATCATCATCATCATCATCATCATCATCATCATCATCATCATCATCATCATCATCATCACCATCACCATCACCATCACCATCACCATTCCCAGCCATCCTGTGGTGTTGGGTCCTCGTTTTGAAGAGATGGTGCCCCGCGTTCCCGCCTCCTTCCTCCCTCCCTCCTCCCCCCTCCTCCCCCTTCCACACAAATTCTTGCACACCCCTCACACGCTTCGTGGCCCCATAGGGAGCTCCACCGAAGGCCCCAGTGGCTGCGCCCGCATGCGGTTCCACCCCCCATTCTGGCACACCCCTCGCACGTTTCGTGGCCCCATAGGGAGCTCCACCGAAGGCCCCAGTGGCTGCGCCCGCATGCGGTTCCACCCCCATTCTGGCACACCCCTCACACGTTTCGTGGCCCCATAGGGAGCTCCACCGAAGGCCCCAGTGGCTGCGCCCGCATGCGGTTCCACCCCCCATTCTGGCACACCCCTCACACGTTTCGTGGCCCCATAGGGAGCTCCACCGAAGGCCCCAGTGGCTGCGCCCGCATGCGGTTCCACCTCCCATTCTGGCACACCCCTCACACGTTTCGTGGCCCCATAGGGAGCTCCACCGAAGGCCCCAGTGGCTGCGCCCGCATGCGTTTCCACCCCCCATTCTGGCACACCCCTCACACGTTTCGTGGCCCCATAGGGAGCTCCACCGAAGGCCCCAGTGGTCTTTGCGCCCCATTGCTATCCACCCCCCCCGTTTGGCACACCCCTCAGCAACTTCGTGGCCCCATAGGAGGCTTCCCACCGAAGTACCCAGTGGCTGCGCCCGCATGCGGTTCCACCTCCCATTCTGGCACACCCCTCACACGTTTCGTGGCTCCATAAGGGAGCTCCACCGAAGGCCGCAGTGGCTGCGCCCGCATGCGGTTCCACCCCCCATTCTGGCACACCCCTCACGCGTTTCGTGGCCCCATCGGGAGCTCCACCGAACGCTCCAGTGGCTGCGCTCGCATGCGGTTCCCCCCCCCATGTCGGCACACCCCTCACACGCTTCGTGGGTGGCTCCATGGGGAGCTCCACCGAGGCCATGGCTGCGACCCGCATGCGGGGAGGGTCCCCATCTGGCACACCCTCACACGCTTCGTGGGTGGCTCCATGGGGAGCTCCACCGAACGCCTCAGTGGCTGCGCTCGCATGTGGTTCTCCCCCACATTTCGGCACACCCCTCGCACGGTTCGTGGCCCCATAGAGAGCTCCACCGAAGGCCCCACTGGCTGCGCTCGCATGCGGTTCCACCCCCTTTTTTTCGGCACGCCCTTCACACGTCTCGTGGCCCCATAGGGAGCTCCACCGAACGCCGCAGTGGCTGCGCTCGCATGCGGTTTCACCCCCCATTTCGGCACACCCCTCACACGTTTCGTGGCGACCATAGGGAGCTCCACCGAAGGCCCCAGTGGCTGCGCTGGCATGCGGTTCCGCACCCCATTCTGGCACACCCCTCGCACGTTTCGTGGCCCCATAAGGGGGCTCCACCAAAGGTCCCAGTGGCACTGCCCGCTTGCGTCCGCCACTACCCAGCACAGCCCTTGTTCCCTGCGCTTCACCCACCCAGAACAGCGCTTCGTAGCCCTATAGGGAGCTCCACCAAAGGTCCAAGCGGCACCGCCCGCATGCGTCCGCCACCACCCTGCGCAGCCCTTGTTCCCTGCCTGCGTTTCACCCACCCAGTACAGCGCTTCGTGGCCCCATACGGAGGTACACCGAAGGTCCCAGTGGCACCGCTCGCATGCGTCCGCCACCACGCAGCACAGCCCTTGCTGACCGCGTCTCACCCACCCAGTACAGCGCTTCGTGGCCCCATAGGGAGCTCCACCGAAGGTCCCAGTGGCACCGCCCGCATGCGTCCGCCACCACCCAGCACAATTGCGGCATTCACAACTGCATGGTTGGGTCCTTCGCCAGGCTAATTCTGCCGTGTTCCTTCGCTCTTGGGGCCTAATGCCTGCTCCTTAGCTCTTGAGGTCTATTCTGCCGTGCTCCTGGTCATTTTCTGCCGTACTCCTTAGCTTTTGGGGTGTATTCTGCCGTACTCATTTGCTCTTGGGGTCTATCTGCCGTGTTCCTTGTCTTTCTCTGCCGTGCTCCTTCGCTCTTGGGGCCTATTCTGCCGTGCTCCTGATCTTTTTCTGCCGTGTGCGCCCAGAAGCTCTGCCAAAACGACCACCGCGACGATCCGCACGGCAGATACAGGAACACGGCAGAACACACAGAGCACACAGAGGCACGGCAGAACACAGAAGCACGGCAGAACAGGAGCACGGCAGAACACACAGGAGCACAGCAAAACACACCCCGCACGCACGCCGACACGCGCGCCACGGCATACCTGCGCGGCATAACAACAACAGAGCATGTTCCACATGCTTGGTGGACTAAAGCGACGCTTCCCGTTCTTGTCCGGTCAGGTTTCTCTGTGTTTCGACGGACGCATGGCGGTGCTGCTTCGAAACGGGGCTCCCGCCCGAGTGGCTGGGCCATGGGGAGCGCTCGTCTTCCAAAGGAGAGCGCTTTCCGCGGTGACGAGGGGTGCCTGTAGGAGCTCGTGAGGAGGGGACCGGGGCCCCGATCGCAGGGCTCGTTTCGATTCCTCCGATTCGATTCGGTTCGATTTCGATGGATTCCGATTCCGATTCGATTCGACTTGGGATTCCGATTTGGGTTTCCGACTTTTCATTGGACGCATACAAGCCTGCCCATTCCGCCGATTCGACTTTTTCCGACTCGGCTGCCGCTTTCCGCCGATACGATCCATGTCGATCGCCGATCCGAGTTCTCGATTCGATTCAAGGCTATCCTGCGTAGGACACGGGGCCCTCTCCCATCCTTGCTTGTGGGCAAGGTTTGTATCCATATGTCTGGGAGCTTCGGGCTGTCTGCCCCAGGCACCAGGGGCGCAGTAGATACGGATAACGTCTGAACCCTAAGAGCTATATTGCGAAGGCCTTACGACGAAGATGAAAACGAGGGGGAGGAGGAGCAGGAGGAGGAGGAGGAGGAGGAGGAGGAGGAGGAGGAGGAGGCAGAGGAGGTGCGGGGGGAAGGCAGGAGGATTATTGGTTCGTCGCCGCTGCCAGCCTGAGGTGTCCTCTTGGTTCGGCGCCGCGCCGCCGCCGCCGTCGTCGTCGTCGTCGTCGTCGTCGTCGTCGTCGTCGTCGTCGTCGTCGTCGTCGTCGTCAGTCTGGCCTTGTCGACTCGGCGACACCGAGGGGGGAAGGCAGGAGGATTATATTCGCAAGTGTGTACCACACCCTAGACTCCCGGCCCACCCACCCTGCATACCGGCCCGGCTAGACTTTCACAACGGGCCTCCCGGCCCGCCTGCCCTGCATACCGCGGTCGCCAGATCCCCAGGTCCACCGAATGTCCCCCGAGAGCCCTTCCTCGCGCGGACCCCCCTCCTCCATCCCCCCCCGCTTGGGGGGAAGGGATAAAAGGGGCTCCCCTCCCCCGGGGGGAAGCCGACAACTCCTCTTTCCTCTTGGAGCGGACGTGGCGATCTCGTGGGCAGGGCCGCCCTCCCCCCCCCCTCCCCCCCTTGCATCCGGGTGGGAGCCCCCCCCCGGGGGGAAAGCTATATTTTTACCAATGTCCGCTGCGCCTCGGCTTTTTGGCCTCTCCTCCCAGAAATTCCACGGGGCAGCGTATCTGGAATACACATATACATGTACACATTTACACATACATACATACATACATACATACATACATACATACATACATACATACCTACCTACCTACCTACATACCTACATACCTACATACCTACATACCTACATACCTACATACCTACATACCTACATACCTACATACATACATACATACATACATACATACATACATACATACAAGACTGCATTGGCGCTTCTCTTCTCGCCATGCGCCTTGTTCCTTGTAGTTTCGAATGAAGGCGGCGTGCGTGCGCGTGGACCTGGGGCGGGCCACCGCCAAGTCGGAATGGGTGAGGAGTTCCTGAGCGGGAGCGACCGGACAACACCAGCTGAGGTCATCTCAGGGCGTTTCGGGGCCCAGAGGCGCGAATCTGTCTCAGGCGAGTGGTTGGGGCTAGCATGAAGCAGGGCCTCCTCCTCTTTTTTTTTTTTCTTCTCACCCTTTTCCTCCTCCTCTTTTTCCTCCTCATCCTCATTCTCTTCCTCTCTCCCCCTCTTCCTCTAATTCCTCCGTCTTCTCCTCCTCCTTCTCTACCTCGTCCTCCTCCTCCTCCTCCTCGTCCTCCTTCTTCTCCCTCTCGTCCTCCTCCTCCTCCACCTCCTACGCAGCATGCTATTGTCGGCATGCGCGCTGCTGGGCTGCCGGCTTCGAGCTCCAAGAAGGTTCAAATAATTGTCCGTAGCCATTTTGTCTCAAGGGGGTTCTTGAAGTTTGCAGCGTGTAGTTACCAGCAAGCACCCCACGAGCCATGTTCATTGCCCGCGCGCTGTCTCAAGAAATGGAGGCGCCTCTCGCCGAGCAGGGGAAGGGGAAGGCGGTGAATCCCGACCTCTATGCCAGCTCGCCAGCTCGGCCCCCACGCGATGCCCAACGGCAGAGCTGCCCCCCTTCGAAGACGACCAGGACGACGACGTGCACGAGGAGAGCTGGTGCGCCACTGCGCTGCAGAGGGATGGCGACGAGCCGGCGCTCCTCGAGACGGTGCCCTTCGAGACGGTACCCCTCAGAGGCCAACGTCCCCGGAGGGGGCCTGCGATGCCAGTACCGAAGGAAGCCCCGCTCAGGCGCCTCCGGTCTGCGGCGTACTGGGAGCAGAAAGCCGCCGCCGCCGGGCGGCCGGCGTGCTCGCCGTGGGAGATGGGAGTGAAGCAGTGCCGCCCGTGCTTCGACGAAGAGGGCTGCCTCGGGCCCCAGGCGGCCCCGACGCCGGCAGCAGAAGGCGCCGCAGGCGCTGGCCCAGCGGCGGCCGCGCCGCCGGCAGCAAGAGCCGCCGAGGGCGAAGGCGCGGCTGGCAGCCCCAAGAGCTTGGCGGGCGCCATCTCGAGGGAGTTGCGCCGCGCGGCGCTGGTGCCGGTTCCGCCTCCGGCCCCGCCGATTGCTGCGCCGCCAGGACCACTCGGGGCCGTTCCACTCGGTGCCGCTCTGAGGTCGCGCGGCCGGTCGTACCACCTGGCGCGGAGCTGCTAGGAGGTAGGAGCCGTTGGTCATGCAAGCATTTGAGACTGCACTTCATGAGTACAAGTGCAACCGCTGCTTCAAGACCTGCCAACACTTAGTGCCGCGCAGCTCAGCGTCCACTGGCGCTCTGGGCAAGCCGCGCGCTCGTTTTTTTTGTGGTCACTTTGCGGATTGCAAGCCTCGTAGCGCCTCATGCGGAAGCGGGGAGGAGGAGCAATCTCTGCACCAGCCGTTCGAGGTTGGCGATGCAGCGGCCGCCGCGACAAAGGGACGGGTTTCACGCCTACCCATATACTTTTGCTACTCAGCGGCAGGCCAGGACAGACTGCGCCCGCACCAGTGCGCGGCTTGTGCACCACCAGAGCTGTGCAAATTTCAGCTGTGTAAACATGTATGTGCATTTTCATACATGCTCTTTGCACTTTGAACAGCGGACGGCCAAGTCCCTGCACAACTCGTGCACCGTAGGCCGTCTGGACCATCATCAGAGATGCGACCGGGCGCGTGTACGGTTACGGATGCTAGAGCGCTCCGTCGGCTCGCGCCTTTCGCATCCGTTTAATCGGCTAGGTTCCATCCTCCGTTTACTCGCCTTTGTGGCCGCAGTGGGCATAGGTTGGTTCCCGACAGGTCGGGCAGTTACGAGCAATTTGCGTATGAATCGGCTCATTTCGGCCACTTCAGGTTGTCGATGCAGCAGCAGGCTTCGTAGTGATGGGAGTGAGCTCGCGCCCGCAAGATTTCGGTTGCTCTCGCCTGGCCATGACCGCGCCAGTGCCGTTTCACGAGAAACTATTGCCACGCGTCATCATCAAAAATATGGCCGGGCATGCGCACGGCTACGGATGCTCGTGCGCACCGTCAGCCTGCACAGCATCCTACGCAGATGCTTTTGCTCGGCGCCTGGCCAGGAGATCCTGCGTTGGGCCAGTTTCTTTTCACCAGAACCTACTGCCACGCGTCATCATCAAAGATGTGACCAGGGGCGTGGGGGAAGGTGAGGAGCACCATGAATTCTAGACGCTTTGCGCATCCCCACCAGCTCCTTTGGGAGTTGCGGCCTGCCGACGCTCTTGCCTCTGGCAACAATTCTTTGGTCGACGGTCCTTTGGGACCACCCTGGTTTCCGCGCTTCGCGCCGTCCGGGGCTTCGCCTTTGCATTTTTCTTCCCTACCTCGACCGACGTTTCGTTGGCCACGGCCAACCTGGTGCTCACGCAGTCGTCTGAGGAGGAATATACATATAACGGCGCACCGGGTCCGGGGGCCCGGGGCCGGGACCCCGACCACAAATGTGGGCCCCGGGGGGCCCGGAGGCTCGTCGGGGCTTGCCAGAGGCCTCCCCGGTCAGACAAGACGGCCCAAGATGCTGAAGATGGCCTCCAGACGTCCAAGGACGCCCCCAAGACGCCCCAAGAAGCCTCCAACATGCGTCCCAAGAGGGCCCCTAGACGCAAAAATTGGCCCATTCCCTTCGTAAAACGTACATTTTTCACAAAGTTGCCTTTTGGGCTTTCCGACGTTACAGGACGGCCCAAGAGGCGCCCAAGACCGCCCCAAGACGGCCCAAGAAGCTTCCAAGAGGGCCCCAGGACAGCCCAAGAGGGCCCCAAGACGGCCCAAGAGGCGCCCAAGATGGCCCAAGAGGGCCCCAAGACGGGCCCAAGAGGGGGCCCAGAGGGGGACCACGAACCGCAAGCTCGAGCCTTCCGCCCCAAGAGGCCGCCAGGAGGCCCCAAGGAGGCCCCTCAAGAGGCCCCAGGAGACCCCCAAGAGGCCCAAAGGAGGCCCCGAGAAGCCCCAAATCGGCCCCCAAAATGCTTCGAACCTGTTTCCAAGAGGCCCCCGACAGGTTCAGAGGCTCCCGAGAAGCTACGTCAAACTCCCAGCGAGCGGCCGGACGAGGCCCCCAAAAAAATCCCAAGAGGGTTCCAGTATTTGTATCTTTCAGCGCTCTCTGGCCTTCTTCCCCCTGCCCCCTTCCCTGCGACTTTCGTTGACTCAAGCTCGCCTCCTCTCCATTGCCTCTCTCTGCCTCTCTCTCTGTTTTTTTTTTTTGTTTTCTCTCTCTCTCTCTCTCCATCTCTCTCTCTCTCTCTCTCTCTTTCTTCGCTCTCTGTCTGTCTGTCTCTCTCTGCCTCTCTTTCTCTCTATCTTTCTCTCTCTCTCCTTTCAGATTCCGTGTCCTTGCGACCTTCTGCAGTCCCCGACGTCGCCATGGCTGGATCCGCTCGAGCGTGTCTTGTGATGTGCGGCGGTGCGAAGCCCGTCCCACTGATCAAGGCACAGGTACGAAATGATGGGTCCATCATTTCTTGCCTTCCCATGTGCGTTTTCCCAATCGATTCCTGGGCCCGAGGTCGCAAAAATTACGACGTCGGAGGTCTGGGGAGGCGGGAAGCACGACCTGGACCTCCGACGTCTTGGAAAAATCACGACGGCGGTTTTTGTCAATTTTCGGGCGTCCTGAGCCTCGGAGGCCGCCGCCTCCGACCCCCCATGGGAGGACGGGGCGGCCGGGGAGGTCCAAAAAAATCCAGGAGGGCCTCCAAAGGCTCCCAAGACGGCCCAAGCGGGCCCTGAGTCGCCGAAAGACCGCTCCAGGACGCCCAAGAAAGGCCCAAGACGGCCCGAGAGGCCCCCCAAGGCACTCCACGACGCTTCAAGACGCCTCTCCAGAGCGCTTCAAGAGGCCAAGATCGTCAATTTTACGAAGGTTTTCGAACGATTTTGACCTTCCAGCTTTTTCGGCTGTCCGACGTTCCACGACGGCTCAATAGGCCCCCAAGAGCGCCCCAAGACGGTCCAAGAGGGCCCCAGGACGGCCCCAGAGTCGCCCAAGACAGCCCCACAGAGCGCCAAGACGACCCCAAGATGCGCCCAAGAGGGGGACCACGACTCCAAAATTCGACCCTCCCGCTTGAAGAGTGCCCCAGGAGGACCTAAGGAGCCCCCAAGAGGCCCCAGGAGGCCTCCAAGAGGCACCCAGGAGGCCCGAACGAGGCCTGAAGAGGCCACAAAACAGCCCCGAGGAGGCCCCACAACGGTCCCAAAACGGCTACCGAGAAGCTGCGAAACTGCCTTCACGACGTCCCCGACAGGCCAACCACGAGATCCAAACTAACACCCATGAGGCCTCTGACCCACCACCCAGGGCACGGTGGCGGGGGCAGTGACAGCACTTGTGCACAGCATGTTCCGGCGAGAGCCTTCCAGAACACGCTGCAGGAGGAGGAGGAGGAAGATCAGGAGGAGAGAGAGCTGGAGTGGGAGGAGGAGGAGGGGGACGAGGAGAAGGAAGAGGCCTCCAAGACAGCTCCAAGATAGCCGAAGAGGCTTCCAAGAGGGCCCTGGGCGGCCCACGAGGGCCCCAAGGCGGTGCCTGAGGCGCCCAAGACGACCCGAGAGGGCCCCAATACGGCTCCAAGAGAGGCCCAACAAGGGAAACACGAACCGAGAATCCGAGCTTTCTACCCCGAGAGGTTCTCGGGAAGTCCCAAGAGGCCCCCAATCGGATCCAAGAGGCCCCCAAGAAACTCCCAAGAGGGCCGACGAGGTTCCAAGAAATCTCCCAAGATGGCCCCAAGAGGCACAACTCATCGTGTTAAGATTGGGCTTTGACGGGTTTTCATGTTTTTTTCCTGCCTTTTGGCATCCCGATGCTCCAAGACGGCCCAAGAGGCTTCCAATACCGCTCCAATATAGAGGAAGAGGTCTCCAAGAGACGTGACGCCCAAGACTGCCCGCGAGGGCCCCAAGACGGTGCTCGAGGAGCCCAAGACGGCCCGAGAGGGCCCCAAGAGCCCCAAGAGAGGCCCAAGAAGGGGAACGCGACCCAACAGCAGAGCGTTCCCCCCAAAAGGCCCACAGGAGGCCGCAAGAGGCCCCCAAGTGGTCCGACGAGGACCCCAAAAGCTTCCCGAGGGCCTAAAAGGCCCCTAGGAGACGTCCAAGAGGTTTTAAAATAGCCCAAGAGAGCCCTCGATGCGCCGAAACTGCTTCCAGCAGGCCCCCGGGAGGCTTCCGGATTGCCTCAATCTGGCCGCAGCAAGTCGGGCCTCCACGCAGCCAAGACGGCCACTGACGGCTTCAGATTGCAGAACCGATGCCCCCAAGGGACCCTCAGACGCCCCCCCAAGAAGCACCCAAGAGGTGCCTCCAACAGCCAGTTGACGAAGCATGCGGAACACCCCAGAAGCTCCTCAGATGCCGTCGCGCGCCTGTGCTTGATAGCGTTGTCCAAGATCGTCCAGCGCCCCCCCGGCCTGGGCTAGAACCTGAGCGCGCGCGAAGCGCGCGCGATGTTTCTAGCCCAGGGGCCCGAAAACAGCTGCCCGACACTCCATGGGAGTACCGGGGCTCATTTCCCCTTTGTTTTTATTGGGTTTCGGCGTCCCGGGCCTCGGAGGCCGCCGCGATGGTCCCGGACATTTTCCAGATCCTCGGCGCGGGCTCCAAGACCATTCCGCAGAGGGCTCCAACAGGCTCCAGGGCAGCCCAAGAGGGCTCCAAGACGGCTCCAGGAACGACTGCAGGGTCTCATTTTTCTTGTGTTTTCTGCAAGACGGCTCCAGGCAGACTGCATGTCTTATGAGGATGGCTTCCGCCTCTTGCCCCGATCATCCCAAACTGCCTGAACGGTTCCCCAAACCCAGCGCTTGCCCAAGCGCGTTCCGGACGGTCTTCGCCGGAACGCGCTGGAATGATCACGCGCTGCGGTTTCCCATGCCAACGTCCTCGGACGTGGGCGCCCTGCCACGAGCGCGTTCCGGGAAGATGCTCCCGGAACGCGCTGAAAAGATATGGCCACATCTCGGGGACGCTCCCGACACCGCTCCCCCAGCCTTTCCGGGCAGCCTCCACAGCGCTCCAGGAGGGCCCAAGACACCCCCCAGGAGCCCCCAGAATGCGAAAGGATGGCCCAAGACGCTCCCGAGCAGCCCAAGTCAGCCTTCCGACGTCTCTCGAGGCTCCCAGGTGGCCTCCAAGAGACCCCAAGAAGTCTGATGGGTATCACGGTACGGCCCGAAGAGGCCAAAGTCGTATATGTTCAATTGTCTTTTCAATGTTTTTGACTTCTCGCGTTTTCGAGCTTCAACGGTCCAAGAGCGCCGAAGAGCTTCCTAAGACCGCCCCAAGACCACCCAAGATACCTTCAGGACGGCCCCAAGACGGGCCAAGAAGGCTCCAACACTCCCGAAGAGGCGCCCAGCACAGCCCCAGACCACCCCAGAACAGGCCCAAGATGGGCCCAAGAGCGGGAGCAGGAGGCTTCCAGAGACCTCCGAGAGGCCTCCGGGACCCCCCAGAGGCCCCCAACACACCCCCGATCCTTGAGAGGCCCCAAAGAGACCCCGACGAGGCTCCAAGAACAACCCAAGAGAGCTGCGAGAGCCGTCCCGAGAGAGCCCAAAGAGGGTAACATCGTTGATTTCCAATGGTTTTTCCTATGTTTTTCGCCTTCTCACGTTTTCCCGCTTCCAGCCCTCAAAGATCGAGGATTTGGGAAAAAGGAGAGGGAATTACAAAAATTGTGTTTCATCAAAGTGGAACTCCTACTCGGGGGTCCTACATATCCCCTGACATCTGGCCGGTACCGCGCCTCCCGGCTTCATCCGCAGAGCGAGTTTGCAGTGCGTTTAGACCTTTTTGGGACGTTTCTTTGAAACTGTCTTGGAGCGTCTTCTGGGCCTCCTGGGGGCCTCTTGGTGCCTTTTGCTGGACCCTGGAGCCCTCCTGGGAACCTCTTCGAGCGAAAACCTACGGTTTTCCGTCCGTGACCTGTGTCCCCATTGGGGGACTGGGGTGTTCCGGGGGTTCTGCTGGGGCGCCGGGGGCGCCGTAAGATCGCCCTGATACGGCCTGCGGATCGCTAAACATGGCGCTTCCAGACCGCGGGAACGACCAATGGCGGCCAAGACAGCCAAGTGGGCCAGAATTAGCCCTTGACTATCCAAGAGGCCTCCAAGACGCCCCCAGAAACTTCCAAGATGCCTCCAAATGAGCCCCGGGAGGCACAA